TCTCTCTCTCTCTCTTCGTCCTCCTTCTCTCTCACCTCTTCCTACCCACTATCTCACGCACTTTTCCTCTTTCTCTCCAAATCCCACTCACCCACCCACACCCACCTGCAGGAGGAGATCGCAGCCGTCAACCTGGCCAAGTACCGCAAGGTCCAGAACGAGCTGGAGGATGCCGAGGAGCGCGCCGACTCTGCTGACTCTGCCCTGTCCAAGCTGAGAGCCAAGAACAGGAGCTCCGTCTCTGTCTCCCGCACCAGTGCATCCCCAGGGGTAAGAGAAAGCCCCAAGACAATTATCTAATTCAAGGGAAAGCCCCCAAGACAACAATATCGTAGTCATCTAATTCAAAAGAGAATTTAAAGACAATTATGGTGTAATCATCTAATTCAAGAGAAAACCAAACGAAATATGACGAAAAAGCACAACAAGCATATAGAAAAAAATCACATAGAATCTGCAAAACATATTATAGTGAATCATATATTTAAAGAGATATCAGAATTTTGAATGAGATTATTTACCAATATTTGACAAGGACGCAAGGTGTTATGAAATGACAGTGACACGTCCAATTTCATGTGGATACAAATATGCACCTTCTCACGAATATTAAGATAAACTTATTTCCTTTTTTAATCATTAGAAATACCATAAGAATCCTTGCCTTTGATTTGTTTTCTTAACCACTGGATTGTCTCCCCAGCCTAGAGAACATGTTCATTATCATTACCACAGGATTTACAAAAATAAAGATCATATAAAAAATAACATCATCTTTTTCAATCATCTCATGACTGAAACGACTAAACTCAAGTAACACATCATGTTAAACCATTATAAGAGCCTTCCTTCACGTTCCTTCTTTCAGATTATCCCAGTCTTTACCATCGAGCACTAAACTTATTGACCATATTTCTGTGTGGAACTTTTAACAACCTCTTGAGTAAAAGAACCTATCTTATGAGCACTGATAATTTTTTTTTAAATTCTGATCTTTAAACACATCACATTCATCATAATAATCTGATATTAAAACATTTACTAGCCCTGCTTCTTGCTTTAGTGCAGTTAGCAAGCGCTGAACTTACTTCATTGTTATTGTAGTTTGTCTGTACGTTTACTTGTTGTTCATTCATTCATTCCTTCATTCATTCATATCTATGTATACCGTTGCCTCTCGGCGGACTTCCACAGTTCCCCAGCCCCAGCTCAGCCTCTGTACCCCGTGGCATGAGCACTGAGAGGAGCGCAAGAGCCCCCTCTCAGTCACAGTCATAAACGATCGATGCGTGTAGAGATATAAGCCAATTCTTTGCGAGGTAACCGAAAAAGAAAACAACAAAAAAACAACCCAGAAACAAGAGTTGCCTGCGGAGCTTGTTTCATATGGCTCCTGTAGAAAAATTATAGCTCCCTCCATAGACTAGAAGGAATGTCCTCGTCGTATAAACACACACACACAGCACGCATGCGCAAACGGTGCTGTCGATCGTTTTGTAGCTTTAGGCACCGGTAGTAATGTCCCTTGCCTTCTGGAATCCGATAATGCTACATGTGGTACTATAGTAAACAGGACGTATCCTTAGACATTGCTTTTTGTACGGAATTGTTGAGGCTATAAACCCCCTTGATTAACACAGACAGATTTCATATTTATAGTGTAAAATGTAATGTTTCTCTGCTGTCCAACTTCATACAATAACATTTTCATACATATCTTATTTTATGTAAGATCATACTCGTACCTACAACAAAGAGAAATAAGAAATGAAGATCACAAAGCTATAACAGTCAAGAAAAGATAAGGGGGTTTATAGAGCTGTTTCTCGAAATTTCGGCGAACCTCTAGATATCCGTAGCCTAGACGTCCTACATCACTGAATGCTGGCTGTTGCTGCATGCTTCATTTTGTCATCTCACAACTCATCTGACAGTGGCTGCTGGCCACATCATTTGTTCAGACATTATTATCACGCTTTATTCATAGCTTTCTATTTTTATGACACTTTCTGAACAGCTATTATTTAGAAAAGAAATGAACTTGATTCAGATATGTCTTGCTTGAAATTTCTCACCTCTTGTTTCACTTTCACCCCTTGAGGCAAGAAAATGGTTAAAAAACAACAACTGGAAGCCTTTCCATTTCAGTTTTTGGACAGTCATTATGTCTCAAAAGGTTATCAACCTCTCATAAAAAAACTCATACTTTCACATTTGCTGTTCAGATATTGTCTTTTCGTCAAATGTACACAAATCACCACAGATATCTAACGTATTAGGAGCTCATTACTAACCAAGTATCGCTCATCTAATTTGTTCATCAAAATAGCCACTCATCACACGTACCCGTTCTGAATATCCTTGTCGTTGTATCTGAACAGGGAGTCTCTGTTACATCTACGTCAGTCAGACGAGAGATTCAAACTGAGTAGATCTTGTAAGAGTTTTCACTAAACTCGGAACTGACTACCATTTGGTGGCTGCTGAAATAATTCTTAAGATAATCCATTAATACTTTTTCTTTCAGTTTTGCCATACTTGTATTCTTTCATGTCTTGATGTTTTGTAGCTTTCATATGTTATTGCTTCAGTTTCGGAGTCAAGAGATACATTATACATCCCCATGTGCGTATGATTCAGCTAGGTCAAATTGATCCTTATTTCTAAAGTTCCCACAGAGCAGTTTTTGGTACGATATTTTCATTTTAAAAATTGCAATCATCTTACATTTTCAAACTGAATCAGCACAAGCAGGGTGTAAAATGTGCATGCTCTGTCACCGATATCTGTCTGCGTAGCGTAGAATTTTTGTGAGTGCATTTATTTAGTTGTTCACATAATGTTGCATTTAGGCTTATTTTTATATATATTCATTCGTTTGCTTTCTTGTCGTCTGTAGCTGCAATAATATACAACTCACATGCTTTCAGTCTTTTTATTTTTGTTGAAATTTTCGTGTAGTTATGACAATCTCACCATTCTTTCTGTTAATTACGTGTGCAGTCGAGCGTCACTGTGAAAAGGACACAGTCTGTCAGCAGGCACATCATTTCGGCTTAGATGCCCTGAATACTGGACTGTAAATACACGCTTATTCGTATACACAAAACCCTTCTCAACCCCTTTGATGTTGTTGGTCTTAATAACCTTGCTAGAAGGATGATTCTTGTCTGAGTGAAAACATCTTTGTATGTTGTCTTTTTCGCATTTGTTGAATGCAGACTCGAATTTCCTCACTTCGTTAGCAATTTGTTTAATTCCTGCGAAATTACGCAAACGTCATAGGCATGGCCTGGTCACAAAGCGCCGGTCACTACAGGTCTCAGGATTGAATACGTTTTATCCCCTTGTTCCCTACCTTTATAAACACGACAAACCTTTCTTTTTAGGGTACAACCTTCGTAAAGAGACGGGTGACCCAGTCTGTGTCACGCCACATTGTGTCGGCATAAGCTGAGGTTCGCTGCAAAGAGTGAAAAAGTTGAACCACCTTTTTACCAGCATCTATCATCAATAGCCTTTGCTCTGAATTAATTGGTTGCGACCATTATATGAATATCAAATTAAAATAAACTCTATTTAAACAAAGCATTCATATTAATAAGCGAAAATATAAATAACCAAAGGAAGAAATGATCCCTTTTTCCGAACCTGTATGATTTTGTTCATTCAATCGTTATTTTGTCAAATTTCTCAGCTCTTCAGAGCAATAAAAGGCTATGTTTCCCTGAAACAATATCCTGTCCCTTTAACGATCCTCACTTCCAGGCAAACAAAAATGGATTTCTTTGCGGTTCACCCTAATGTTTTCTCCCAAACTGAAACAGTAAATTTTGAACAAAGTGAGAAAATGAGTACAACATTTAATCTATTATACGATTCTTCCCTAACTCTAATACCCCACTTCCCTATATACAGCAAGACCCTTCCTTGTCGTGAAACCTTCGCTTTTGCGAAAATCCTTTATCTAAAACCTTTTCCCTACTGTTGTAAAGAAATATTCGAGTGATCCCTTTTCCTCTTCCACTGTGTGAATTTCAAATAAAAAACGAAACGAAACAAAACAAATGATGGGTGTTTCTTATTTCCATAATAGGCCTTCATTTCCTTAACACATCCGTGCTCAAAGCATTTAAAATGCCTCTGATTTCATTCCTAAAAACACAGCCAATTTTTTGGGTCCCTTTCACACCTGTGAGGTATGATCACCTGTCTATATATCTACTATCAATATTTGATCACAATTCCTCGTTTTTGCATGAATTTTCATTTTTGATTTGTGGGTGAGCATTTTGCTTGTTGTCTGATAAAAATGTTCTTGTCCTTTCAAAGGTTACCTGTTACATTTATGTTTGTATATATATTTTTTTTTTAATTAAAAAAAAAAATAATTAACCATCTTATTCTACAAAGATAAATAAAAGTATTTTTCTTAATTGCCAGTAAAAGATTTTGATAGACAAATTGTAAGAATTTGTTTGCTTTAAAAATTTCTAGTGGCCATTATATTTTGTCAAACAGTAAATTACATTGTAACTATGCCAAGCGAGATCTGTCGTCATTAATTCGAAAATGTATCTTTCCAGTAACCAAATCCTTATAATTATGGCAATTGCCATATTTTTTTCGATTGGAAATGGAATAAACAAAGACAGTAGTGTTTTATGATTTGTTTACTTCAACATGGGCGGTTGTTATAATCTATCCTTTTGGTGTTTTTTTTCTGCAGTCTCCAGCTTTCTTCAACGTACGCGGAAATACAAATCTAAACACATCCTTCCGTTCGGCCACCCCGTCTAATGAGGCATATGACGATGAAGAATTCTTCGTGAAGTGACGTCACGAGGGGTAGATAATCCCACCAAGTTATCTTCCCCGCGTTTTTGTCACCTACCGCCAGCAGAAGTTACCACACAGATGATGGACTACGATCAAGAAAGTTGTTTCAGAGATCTATAAAGTTATCGTGCGAGATTCAAACCAGATGCAGACGAGTGAAAGGACAGTCGTAATATTACATTAGATGTACCAAAAATGCATTGTGTGTGGTGTGCTAGAATATGCGTTTTTTCTTTATATCTGTACAAAGATTGTCACCACTGATCTGTATGTTAATCCACTGTGTTGAATATATAGGTCAGTTTCTATTTATAACAGTGTAACTATTCACCCATGTGTGTACGCCTCACTCATTGTAGTCTTAAGGAGTAGTCTCCCATGATGCAGCTCGCTTCCGGTATACTGTTTCAGTTTTCAGATGAAGGGATGACTGGGTAGCGGCGATTTTTGGTTCTTGGTAATACACCTTCAAGATTACACACGCTTCCTATACTATATATATATATTGCTAATGACGATCAATATCAACATAATATAAAGGCTCGGACGTTTAAACTAGCACCAGACTTATCAACACCACAAGACAGTAACCATCACTCAAGCTGCCGATTACTAAGATCTAAAAAACAACATGATGTAATAAAGAAGAACTAAAGAACTGGCTCCTCATTATGTGGTAAGATCGTTATGAAGAAAACTGTAGTCTTGAAAAGAACCTTAGTCGCTGCTTGGCCATGTGTATTATATTCAGATAGATAATACTAATAATATGCTGTGATCTGCATTTTAGCAGAATGAGAAGAGTAAGTATCATCTGGTCTACAGACTGTCGAGTTGGATTTTTGTGGATTCTGTGTTATTCCCGTTGACGGCTTCCACCGCTGAGTCGCCTTATCCATAATTTATTACTACTACATTTTTATTATGAGAGTTTTGTTCAAAAGTTTATCATTTTGAAAATACGTTTAGTTCCTTTCACGAGAGCTAAATGGCTTTGTTTTTGTCTTGTCATTCATATGTATGCGTTGGTTCACACACCACCAAAAGTACAACAGACCACTCAATAAACCGGAGTTTCTCGGTGCCTCATTAGACTGCTCTATGAAACGAGGCTGTGTTGCTTCCACAACAGAAATGCAGCACATTCTTGTTTTCATGAAGCTATACAAAAAGAAATTTGCAATATTTACTGATTCCTTTTACCAGAAAATAAAAGTCTGTCCACAGTTTACTCTCAATCGCTGACTTATTTTTTGTTTTTTTTCTGTGTGCTGTGCTTTTTTAAGAGGGGGAGGGGGGGGGGGCGGCTAACAGGATGGAAACGAGACTTGTCTTAGAACCAAAACAACTCAGGCAAACACAGAACTAATGGCAAGCGACAAAGTGTTTTATTGCAGAAAGGTCCAAGAAATCAAAGCCTACTCCTGGAGAAAGGCTAAGAAGAAGCAGCTAAGCTTCAGTTAAAGATTCTAACTGCTCTTAGCATATATCTGGTTTGAACACTCTCTGCTAACATTTGAATACACTATATAGAGCTAAACAACAGTGAAAGTGAACATACAACTAGGGTTGTTTTTTGTGGCACTGGATCCGAAGACAAAAGTGCGGATGTCAGTGTAGGCCATTCGTAACAACATGACAGCAGCTTTGAAAAGTAACTTTCTGTGGTTGAGATTTCTATATTATGACAAAAATGTAATAACTAAAGATACTTTACGCTCCTGACTACACAATTTAGATCATATAGGAGGTTTGCCACTTCGACCTTGCTTGTCAGGGCCAACCCGAGCTGAGATGGGTACAACATTCCAGCAGAAAGACCGAAATACTCGATAAAAAAAATCTCCACACACTGGTATCGAACCAAGGTCTTCTGCGTGTGACATGGAAGCGCCTGAGCGTTATTCCACAGTCGCCAGTAGAGTGGTTCTGAACTTAATCATGCAAATAAAGAGAAAAAGAATAATGAATGGTCTAAAAAATACAGTCATAGTTCTGAGCCTTAAGGCTGACTTAGGAAGATTGGAACTGACTGGGGGTTGGCTTGAGAGGAAGGCCAAAGTCAGAGAGGCTTGTGGTCTTTACTTCTTTGTGAGACGGAGGCAATGATGAGCTGCAAATATTTAGGCCAGCTCCGAAATTTAAAAAACTTGGATTTGGTATGAGATTTGGTTGAAAAGAAGCATTCCATTTGCGCTCATGGCCCTATATAGTGCTATGTACTAAAAATCAAAAGCATTTCTCCTCTTTCTTCTCTTCCTCCTCATCCCCTTCCTCCTCCTCCTCCCCCTCCTCCTCCTCCTCCT